GGGTAGAGGTAAGATTTCACTAGAGAGTTTTGTGCCTCCACTGAGATGTACTGGAATCCTTCTGTAGTTTTCCTGCTCCAATAGCTGAGGTAAAGGAGCAGGCAGAATGATGGGCGCGAAGGGAACTAACATCCCTAAACCCTATATTATGGGCCAGGCACTACATGAGTGTGACTTCAAGTAACCACTGTATGAGCTCCATAGTATCACTACGTCTATTCTTTAGATGGGGACACCCTGCATTGCTGTAACTAATTTTGCACAATTGAATCTTGGCTTGACTGACTCCAAAGTCCTTATTTCTTTGTTTAAACCATGTCGACTGCTTTCTTATTACTCTATGGTTTCAGTCAGTCATAGTGTTTTGCCTCTTTAAAGGGAAAAGAGAAGTAATCCAATTGCTAGCACATTTCTGCTTAAGAAATATCTTTTCTATAGTCTACCAAGATAGGATAAAATACTTATTGAACTCAACTTTATAAGTTACTTAAAAAAATGTATTTAAGAATTAATTCCCAAATTTTAGGTTCAAAATGGGGATTCAATCTCCCGGGGCATAAAAATAAAAAGCTTTATTACCTTTATTGTAAATTCGCTTTCTAATTCTGGGCTGGATGAGATAGGAGGCCAGAGAATGCCTGGAGTGATACACACCGCTAAATTAAATGCAGTCATCTGATTGGATGAGGACTGTTGCTCAGTGTTGCATAGTACTCCAAAAAGGTACCTTAGGAGAACAACGTTGGCTCTTGGGAGCTGATCTAACTGCTTAAGGACAGAAAAATTTGCTCTTCAAGCCAGATGTTTAGTAAAACATGTGTATAAATAGGCAACCCTCACTTTGGTTCCCCATGGAAAGCAAGAACATGTTCCAGATATGCAAGAGTTTCAGTTAACATGGCACCATGCAAAATGAGGACTGCTCGTATTTAAAGGGGGAAAGTAAGCATAAGGACTTTATTTATTTCGTACGTTGTTTTCACTACCCAATGAAAATGAAAAGGAAAGCAGAAAAATGGCCCATATAAAATGCCACCTGAAATATTTACCTGAAGCTAGTACTACATATTTTCACTTAGGCAAATCCTGTAACATTTCAGAATATTCTCAATCCAAATCCCAGAGAGCTTTCTGATGAAATCAAACAACCATTAAACTTATTTGCAAGCAGCAACACAGGAATTCTGCCTCTTGGTGGGAACCCAAACTTCAACTACTAAGACTTCCAGGTTGGTTTTGAGAGCTTTTGCACTGTTCCACCAGCTTTCAAGGTCCATTTTGTCCCAAATCTCTGATCTTACTATTATCACTTTCACATATAATTAAGCTTATCACAGTATATTTCCGACTGTTCCTATTTTGTAATCAATGAGATTTTTAAATTATTGAAAATGATTTTTACTATCATCTAAAAAACATATATATGTTGATATTAAAGGATGTTGCTTTTTTCAACAAGGATCTGCAAACTCGGGGAGAAAATCAAGTAATCTGATTTCTGTAGCAGAGAGACATTTCTTCAGTACAATGAATGGGCAATGAATATAGTTTCATAGGGACGAATTATGAAAAATATTGAAATGGACTAAAAGATTACTGAGCGTATTCAATGGAAAGTAAGGCTTTGTGTATTTAGCACACTCTTTTGGGTTTTATGATTTATGAAGGCCTTAAGCCTTTGAGGTAATTTTACAACTCTAAGCTGTAGATAAATGATAGCCATGTACCCAACCCTTTTTCATAGAACTGAAAATTCTGTCTGGTGACAAAACACAAGACTTATTTGTGCCCTCCCCCTACCTCCTAATGCCCCAGTGGAGAAAGCTAGTTTTGCCGCTATTCGTAAATTCATTTCAGCATTTCTGAATCAACTACATAAGTTGTGATACTTTGAAATCTCCTTTGAACTTCTTGCTACATGTTATTAGTTTTCATTAATTAATGACTTAAATAAAATCTTTCATGTGTTCATTTTATATTTGTATGAGTCATAATTTTACTTTTTTTTAAAAAAAGAAATCATCCTTTAACAGTAGATTATAAAGTTTTAGACAATGAGCATGAAGTATAGAATCTGATGTTCATTACCTCCAAGTGATTTCCACCAAAACATAGTGGAAGCAGAGACAGTATTTTGTTACATGGCTTTGACTTCTGGTATCTCCAACACTTGTTTTACGTTCTTCTATAAATAAAAGATGTCTGTCAATTGTAGTGCATGGATAATCAATCATTCATATTTGGAAGGTGCTTGAGAGGAAACTATACTAAACAAATATATGGAAAACATGATATTGGGATTCTTGGGTTTTCAAAGAC